CCATTGCCTTAGACTTTATTTCTACTGTTTACACATCAAGTTTAGTTAATTTTCAGCTGTTAATTACTTTCAATCTTAGTTGTTAGAAAATCAACCATTGTGAATCGAAAAGTTTGGGAAAACAGATTGTGTGAATTTAGTAAATCTGACAGTAGTGATTGATAGGTTAGTTCCATGTGGTTCGACTCTGGGCAATAATACTCAGATTATATTTGCAACGCCCGCATAGTCTTTTGTGAGACTTAGTTGAGCGTGATCATGAATCAACAGGCAAAAGTAAACGATTCCCACAAAAATCAACACGAAGATTGAATCAAGGCAAAAATAAACAGAGCATAACCCAATAGTGAAGTGAATCAACAGGCAAAAATAAACGATTCCCTCAAAAATCAACGCGAAGATTGAATCAACTGAAGATGAAGATGAAGACAAGTAGGCAACCGAAGATGAAGATGAAGCAACTAAAAACTTACACGAAGAATGAAGATGAAGCTGAAGAATGCGGCTGAAGAGCGAAGTGAAGAGGGTGAAGTTTGAACTCTGAAGAATGCGGCTAACGGGCTGAGGCTGAGAAAGAACAGGGAAAGAATGAAGCCCTACTATGTATATACTTAAGGGTAAAGTAGTAAATTCATTAATCCTAATTGGGTTATCGGTTAACCCAATAACAGAATTGCCAGATCGAGCCCGAACGGATAACCTAATAATGAAAAAATTCTAAATCGTTAGCGAACCGTTAACCCAATAACCCAATACCGATAACCCAATAATTAATTACGGTTCAGGTTATCGGTTTTACCTGATATATGCCCACCCCTAAGTATAATTCATGCCTTTCTTGAGGTCTTACAAATAGGTTACTTGGTACAATTACAATTCATGCCTTGCTTGAGGTCTTACAGATAGGTTACTTGGTACAAGTATAATTCGTGCCTTGCTTGAGGTCTTACAGATAGGCTACTTGGTACAAGTATCATTCATGCCTTGCTTGAAGTCTTACAGATTTGGTATTGCCTTACGGAGGTCTTATGAGCTCGAGGTTGCCTTATGGAGGTCTTACACTGTTGATAATGCCTTATGGAGGTCTTACATTTTCTAGCATTGCCACATGGAGGGCTTTCGGACTCGAGGCTGCCCGCTTAGGGTCTTACGGCCTCGAGTTTTGATAGCTCTATGGGGTGACAGTGGGTGACGGTCCCCGAGACATCGAAACTTTTTGGCTATGGAGACATTTTTTGAAAACTTGATGTTGCCTCATTGAGGGCTTATGAGCTCGAAGTTTTCGACCCGGAGGTCTTACGGCTTTGAGTTTTTTATGTCGGTTCCCGAGTGTTCGAGAAATTTCTGGCCGTGAGGCCATTTCTTGTAAAAATAGCAAACCTCTCTGAAGCGTGAAGCGTTTTGATGGTAAAAGATACTCCTTTGATTACTTGGTACAAGTATACAAATTTTCATCGTCGAGGGTTCAATTATTCTATGCGGACACGGTTCATTTGACCGTTTGGCCCGATACATCATTTTTCAATCGAGACCCTCTTTGGCTCATCTTGATTTCTCCGGCGAGGTGATCTCCCGGGGGGGTGTCCCCCAGTATTCGAGGTCGATTGAAGAGAAGCCTTGAATACTTGTCAAGTTCTCCTTAGGTAGCATATAGATATTGCCTCGTTAAAAACCTTGCCGGTAAAACCCTTCTTGGGATAAAATCTAACCGAAGGAAAAGAGTGCAACCCATGCTTTAAAACCTAAGGTCTTCAAGCTGGAAGGTGCTCCAATTTTTCTAACCGGACACCTGCACATAGGTTAGTGTAAGACGTAAATAAAAAGGGAGACAGTTATACCTTAGTAGTGATGGCGCTTCGAGCCTCGATATGCTTCGACTGCTCGCTCCGGGGACGCGGTAATGTCCTTTTCCAGGAGCCTGCTAGGATATATTAAGCCCGAAGAGGCTCCTAGTTGGTCGTCCTCGACCCTAATCTCTGATTGATACCGTTTGTGGACATCCACCCCAAGTCACGGCGGGATATTCGACCAAGTTCTGCTTTAGCTGCTTCGAAGCTATCGAGCTTCGTCCGTTCAAACCTTGGGTGAAGGCCTGCACTGCCCAGTCATCGGAGACTCGTGGTAATTCCATTCTCTCCATTTGAAAGGGAGATACAAACTCCTGTAGCATCTCGTTTTCTCTCTGTTTGATTTTGAAGATGTCCGATTTCCGTGTAGCAACCTTGATCGCACCGGCATGTGCCTTTATAAAAGAATCTGCCAGCATGGCAAATGAGTCTATCGAATTCAGGGATAGGTTGTAATACCGCATCATGGCCTCTTTTGAAAGTGTTTCTCCGAATTTTTTCAACAGGACGGACTCAATCTCGTCGTCCTTCAGGTCATTTCCCTTTACAGCACAAGTGTAAGCAGTGATGTGCTCGTTGGGGTCCGAGGTTCCGTTGTACTTCGGGAGATCGGGCATTCTGAATTTCTTCGGGATGGGCTTTGGAGCAGCACTCGATGGGAATGGCCTTTGTATGAATTTCTTTGAATCTACACCCTTTAGAATCGGGGGTGCGCCCGAGATCTGATCGACCCTTGAATTGTAGGTCTCCACCTTTTTGTCATTAGCTTCTATCTTCTTTTCGCCCGATTCAATCCTCTTTGTGAGGTCCTCGAGCATCTTCATAATAGCGGGGTCGGCTGCTGACCCGTTGTTGCTCGATCTTTTCGGTACCTGTTCGGCTCGAGGAGCCGTTTCCGGTGCTGTTGTGCTTGGAATTCTTTTGTGGCTTTACAGTTGAGCAATCGCCAACTGTTGTGCCTGCAACATCTCAAAAATGACGTGAAGGCTAACCTCTCGTTCCTCCCAAGCTGGGGTTCTCTGAGCTTCTTGTTGGGTTTCTTGGCGTATACTCCCGTTAGTGTGGGAGCTTATATCGACGTGTTGGACATTGCGTGAGCCCACATCCACGGGGATTGGTTCTGGTGCGTCCTCAGGGTTTTGCAGCGGTACACCGGCGCTTGGAACAGCTACACCATTCTCTCCATGGTCCTCAGGACTGTTGTTTTCATTTGCATTCACTGAGTTAGACATTTTGACCTGAAATCAAAGATTCTTGGATGAGAAAAAGTGTGAAGAATAACTTGTGTTTTCAATAAACCAGCACAAAAACAATGACTATTATTTTTAGCCCCACGGTGGGTGCCAAATTGTTTACCTTGAAAACGGTAATTACAATTAGATTTGATTTTATGGTTCTAAAAATACGTGATTTATTTTTATGCTAGTTGTTAAGCAATAGATGCTAAGCGTGAGACTAGGAAATAAGGTAAGAGCTTGAAGAAAGCATGTTGTGCGAACTGAGTGGCCGAGAATCGGGGTTTTGAGCTATCCTATGCTGGGCCTCGAGGTCAAGCTGATGAACTCGACTGGAGATGGCCGAATAAGGACTAATAGTTCTGAAACCTTTGATGAGGGCTCTTTATGATCAACGATGAGTAATAAATGAAGAGCAATCAATGATACGCAATAAATGTGAGCAATGTAATAGATATAAGCAATAAACTCAAGGGAGAATATGTTTAAGTTAGAGAGTAGAGAATGGTTTTGTTTTTGTATTCAATATCATGTGTCTTTTACAAGATGATAAAGGTCCCTTTTATATAGGAGGGAGAATCCCAACATGGTACATGTATAATTATTACAAAGAAACGTAGCTGGTACAGCTATTTAATGGTCTGGTACAGACTACTACTATTCTTGCAGGCGTAGTCAGCTTTGACCACGTGCCTTAGGAATTTCCCGCTTGTCCATGATAGCCACAGATTTGCACTGCCCCGAGGTCGAGCATAGGGAACCCTCGGGGTCGAACCTCGAGGTGTGCCTCGAGCCTTCTGGAGACGGGCTCGATGGAATGTCATAATGATCATAAAATCGGACTCTCCAATTTTAGCCATGTACACTACTACAACTGAACTAGAATAAAAGACAGGCACTTGGAAATGGTTCTTCTATCTGGTTCATGTAGCTTCAGGTTTGCACACTTGAATCACACACGAACTGCTTGCAAAAAGCCTTGCTATTTTGCTCTCAATTCACGTTTAACTTATGTGTTTGTGCATTACCTGTAAATGAGAACATCCTGCAATATATAGAGTTGGTAGATGAAGAAGTAACTAGAGTTCTAATGCTACTCTTCCTAGGTGAAAGAGTTCTAGTTGATCTCAACTTCTAACTCCTTCCCTATCTTGGAAAGTGTTCTCTTTGAGTAAGGAGTCCTTCTCCTTTTCAATTATGCAACCTTTTCGATCAGGAGATATTAAATATACCAAGTTAAGATTATCTCCTTCACGTGCATCCCACATGCTCGTATCTGCCCGTTTCTATGCACCACAAGAGATGGACTTGGTTCATACCTGAGCTTCCTTTGTCAATCTTCAAAACTAACCTTCACTTGGGCCAATACCTATCCTTAAAACGGTGTATAAATTCAATTGTTATCCGATTCTGAGGGTAAACAGTGGTGGCGTCCCTTTTCTAGTTGTATCTAGAGTGGGGTTTTTATAGCTCCTTGTCGTGTCAGCCAATTGAGGAATCTTTTGTGCGGGCGCGCGACTGAACTTGAGAGAGAGAGAGGAGTTTTTTCTTCTTTTGGTAATAAAAACCAATCAAAAATTACGGGATTATAGAATTGCTGACTTCTCCCCTAATAAACTTATAAACATACGTACTAGTACGATGTAAAGACGAAATAGGATATGAAGTGAAGTTACATAAAATAGGCCTTTTTATTGTTACGTAATACTAATGGACTTAATAATAATAAATTTAAGCAACAATTACAATAAATATTGTATTTAAAATAATAAAACAACGCCATATATTGGTAACAACAAGTCAACAAGCTGCAAGTAAATAATCAACTAGAAAGAGGCATCATAAACTGAGAAGTGGAGTGAAACTCATCAGTCCAGAGATTTTTCTCCATAGCAGGATCGACAGTCTTCAGGACATGTTAAACAATATTGTTGCATTTGAAACCTGAGCCAAAGCCTATTTGCCATGCTCTGTCGTCCTTCTTTATCCTCCCTTTGGCCTCGGAGTAGGCCAACTCATACCATAATGAGCTACTTGATGTATTCCTAAACCTGTGCGGTGTCATTCTCGACGGCTCCATATGCCATTCTGTGAGCTCGAGATTCTTATCCATCGCATCCAACACTGCTGTTCCTCCGGCATGAATGAAGAAATGCTCAAATGCCAGCTTAAAGTCTGGGATATATGGATTGATATTCTTCATTTTAAATATTCTTCTAGCAATTGAGGACGCAAAAAAATGGAGTTGCTCGGACATAGGAAGGACCAATGGCCCCAGAGTTGTTATATTTGATTTGAGATTTTCTCCAGCTACTACCATTAGGCCTTTCGAGACCGATATGCCAACATTTCCATCTTCATCTTGTTCGTGGTATACACTTTTGAAAGCTCTGTCGTCTGCTCCTTTATGGGTACGCACGACGTGCATGAGTTTATATTTGGAAGGGTGGCAGTCTGAGAAGCGGTTGGAGAGGAGAACGGCAGCGGCTCCCATGCGGAAAAGACAGTTCGTTACAAGTTTTGGTCGATCCTTGCCAAGATAATAACCAGAATTGATGCTTTCTGTGCTAACCACCAACGCGTAGGCACTGAATTGTGTCTGTTTTGTGATTCATAAAATGAATATACATTATCAACTCTTTCATAACCAGTATGTTAAATAGTAGTAGTAGTTGTTAGCACAAAGACATGTTATTATATTCAATGGAGAAAATTAAACAACAAAATATTCTCTTGAAAAGAGTTCTTTAGTATCATGTCAACCCGAGAGAAAGCTATAGTGAGTAAGTATCTTTTTATGACAACTAGAGAGATGATAATGCACGGGCCTAACATGTACACCAAGTGAACACACCAAGTGTTCACGTAATTTTTTTCGACGGCGACCGTGCTAGTTGCTCAAAAATTGATTGCTATTAAATTGTCCAGTCTAGTAAATTTTATTGCAACCCTATTATCTAGACTACTTCATTTTCCTTCCTTGACAGAATGCTTGAGTGTGCTGCTGTAACGGGTTTAAATAGGATTAGAGCCTGACAACTAACATTTTCAAGTGACTTTCCTGTAAAAAAAAAAAAAAAGAAAAGAAACAGTGAATGCTTCAATACCAACGTCGAGAATATGTAAACAGTTGGATACCTTGAAGACCAGTATAATTGTCTGCAAGTTTCACTATGCAATCCAAGCAGAGATCAACTCTATCTTTCCCAATTTTACAGTGTCTATGGATTGAATTATTTTTTATCTCATTTGTTGAAGGATCCTAAAGAAGGAAAGCAACCATTTCGTATCATGCTTCTTCAAGATTACAAAAAAGAGTACTCAAAGAAAGCAACAGCGATGTGGATGTATCTTTCGAATTTTAGGCACGTTAGACTGGAGACCGGGTTTATCATTGGATCATGAATAAAGTTAAACTCACACCATTATATAGAAAGGAAAATGGATTCTAACATCAATCAAAACATATTATTGTGCATAGACATAATAGAAGGGCAGAGACGAAATACTCTAGACACCCAAACATGGACTGTTCATAGTTGTAAAATACTCCACACAAACATGAAACAATACCAAAATAAAATGAAAAGAAGATATAAAGACCAGAGAAAGGAAAAAAAGAAAAAAGTAATCGACTTACATTCTTAACTTGGTATGAGCGAGCTTATCCTGAAGAATGATCAGGGCATGTAAAGTCTTCTCTCCGTTGTTATTTTTTCAAGAGCTTAGCTTATCCTTTATTCCTTATTGACACACTATAGCTCCTGCCGTTAACTGTACCAGTTAAACAAATCTAATCAGTCATAGAGAATATTTCCTTAATTCTGTTCTGCTATTGTGCCGTTAAATGATCAGTTATCCATATTACTTCAGGCCTATTAATGTTTACTCTTTCTTCTGTATAGATTCTAACCATGCATCTTCTATGAAATTTCAAATGTTGTAAGTGATACAAACATTCTAGAGCTGATTCTTTTGAATCCCCTTATTTTGGTCTGATTGTTCAACTATTCTGCTATTAAAAGCCTATAACTTTGTTCTTAGTTCTCTAGTAATTATATTCTAAGGAGTCTCAATCTATGTAATTAGCTTTTCATCTAACTGTTCATTATCTATGACATTACAAATTATAAAGCAGTTCACAAATACAAAGCAAATTCTATCAGATTAAAAAAATAACCTCCCATTCAGATAGAAATTAAGTGAAGAAACTCAAAAGTGCAAATCTAGTTCTATCCCAATTCTATCACACTACTAGAAATTCGGAAAAAAGCGACCAATAATTTGCGACCAAAATTGGTCTGTCAAGAAATGCGACGAAAGTTGGTCGCTAAATTGGAGAAAATTATTAAATAATTATTCTAAATACATTAGCGACCAAGGTTGGTCGCTTTTTGGTCGATAATGTGGTCAAAATGTTGACCGGACTGGTCAGACTTGCTTGGTCAAAGAAATATTGAAATTAGCGACCAACTTTGTTCGCCAAAGTGGGACTCAGTTATAAAATTTTAGTAATTATATTATTAGTTAAAAAAATTATAAAAATATAAATAAATATAATTTAAAATTAGCAACCAAAGTTGGTCGCTTACGAAAGGAGAAGCAGATAGAGACCAACTTTGGTCGCTAATTTGGGACCCAGTTATAAAATTTTAATAATTATATTATTATTTAAAGAAATATAAAATATAAATAAATATAATTTAAAATTAGCGACCAAAGTTGGTCGCTTACAAAAGGGGAAGCAGATAAAGACCAACTTTGGTCGCTAATATGGGACCCAGTTCTAACGTTTAATGATTATATTATTATTTTAAATATTATATAAAATATATATAAATCTGATTTAAATTTAGCGACCAACTTTGGTCGCTAATTTTAATTTCTG